GAACTAGGCTGAAGGGCTTTACTGCAGGTCCCGGTACCGGCACCGCACCCCGTTCCCAATGAAAAGAACAAGAAAATAGGAAAAATAGAAAAAAAAAAGAAATAAACAATTCAAAATGAGACAACTCCGCGGGTGACCGCTGCACAGTTTCGAATTCGCAGGAATAACAGTCCACTCCAAGCTTGGGCGAAAGTTCGAAACTCCAAGCTTGGGCGAAGACAAGTTCGAAACTCCAAGCTTGGGCGAAGACAAGTTCGAAATTGCATTATTATTATTATTATTTTTAAATCTCGGCCGTGGCCGAGGCATCGCGGCCGTGGCCCAGCCACGCGACGGGATGCTCTCTCTTTCTTTTTTTTTTTTTCCCTTTTTTTTACCTCGGATGTGGCCGAGGCATCCGGCAGTGGCCAGCCACGCGACAGTGCTTGAAAAAAAAAAAAAAAAACGAGAGTGAATCTTCCACTAGAACATGGAAAGATGCACCGCGAAATTGCATTATTATTATATATTTTTTTAAATCTCGGCCGTGGCCGAGGCATCGCGGCCGTGGTCTCTCTTTCTTTTTTTTTTGTTCCCTTTTTTTTACCTCGGATGTGGCCGAGGCATCGCGGCAGTGGCCAGCCACTCGACAGTGCTTGAAAAGAAAAAAAAAAAACGAGAGTGAATCTTCCACTAGAACATTGAAAGATGCACCGCCACGAGGCCCCAAGGATGACACGCATAGGTTGTTGTCAGCCCGTGTATCTCGTTGGGCCCCTGTATCCCCTTTGCACAAAAGACAAAAATCATGGCGCTGTATCTTTCCATGTTCTAGCGAAGATTCACTCCCTGTATCTCGTTGGGCCCCTCTGCGGCCGTCGAACGCATTTTTCCTTGCAGTTTCGAACTTGTCTTCGCCCAAGCTTGGAGTTTCGAACTTGTCTTCGCCCAAGCTTGGAGTGGACTGTTATTCCTGCGAATTCGAAACTGTGCAGCGGTCACCCGCGGAGTTATTTCATTAAAAATATATATATATAATTTAAACTCAGAGATAGACATAGAAAAAAACGGATGCGGGAGGGGACTGCTGGCACTCGGTCCTTTCTTACGGGCCCGCGGTTGGAACCCTTCGCAAAAACCCAAGGGGGATAATCCCACGTGACCCTCAACCCCTCGGCTCACTCCATAGTGCTCCTCCGCTGCTCCGCTCTGGCCTC